TGGGTCCAAGGCAGGGGAAAGCCGGAGCGCCTGGCCCTGGGTCACAGTTGTACGTGTGTCTGGATGAACCTGAGCATCGAGCTCTGGCTCCCGGCATCCCGGACCCAATCCCCCCATTGGATGCGGTGCTCGGCTGGGTGCCTGGCTGTATCGTCCTGCGTGGAGTGGTTAAAAGCCACTGCTGCAGCCCAGCCAAGGGCAAGCACTGGGCACCAGAAGCGGAGATGAACGCAGCCTGCCAAGAGCAGTTCAGCTCAGAGCACAGATGCCCTGGTGTCCCTGGGACACTGCTGGTGACAGACCGGGCAGGCCGTGAGCTCTGCCTCTGTATCTGCGATGGGTTTTGGGAGTGGGGCCTGTCATCTCATAACGAAGTGTGGATCCTGACTGCTTTGGTGCTGTGGGTTGTGCCAGAGGCCTGACATGTGGCATTTGTTGTGAAAATGCAGCCAAGGGTGTTGGAGCTGGGAGGCCGCTGTGTGCAAAGTGACTGGCACTGTCCTAACAAGTCAGAGGAAAGGGAGATCCCATATCCTGGATCCAGGGGGGCATATTGTTCTGAGCCTTCCTGCATAGGGAGGTTGCTTTTAAATGTAGGTGTCCAAAAGGCAAACAGCGTGTTGGGGATGGTTAAGAAGGGAATTATAAACACTACGGAAAGTATCATTGTGCCGCTTTATAAAACCATGACATATCCACACCCTGAATGCCCTGGCCAGATCTGGTCCCCGCACCTCCAAAAGGAGAGAGAAGTAGAGAAGGGGCAGAGAAGGGCTGCAAAGATGATCAGGGGCATGGAGGGGAGAGACTGTGAGGCCAGAGGACGGACTACAGAGACCAGACCTGGTCAGCTTGGAAAGGAGACACTTGAGGGAGGACAAGGGAAGGGTTTACAAAATACTAAATGGTGAAGAGAAAGTTGATAAGGATTTATTAACTTGCTCTGGCTTTGCAAAACCTGCCACCAGCAGCGGGCATGAGACTGGGGAAGCACTCCTGTGCCCACAGGGTCCTACTGGCTCAGCTCTGGTGGGGTCCATGCAGTGATGGACAGCTGTGCTGGCAGATGTGTGTGGTGGAGACATAGTCCTAAACTAGACTTTGGTGTAGCCCACCCAAAGGCAGCTAGTGTGCGACTCATGGGGACCCAGCCAGGTGCCACATGGAAGACTCTTCTCGGCTCCCACATGCACCCTGGCACCCTTAGAGCCACCTCTGCATGTGGGCAGCTAAACTCCCAGCCCCTGGGTTGAGCCGTGAGACTGGCTGGGGTGGACGAGGCCGTAGGTTTGTCCTGTGACTTGAGCCCCGTGTGTGGCTGCGACTCCATCCAATGCAGCATCGCTTGGGTGGTCACACAAGACCTGTCCGGTGTCAGTGGTCCCTTGGTCTCTGCTGGGCTCATTGCGGTCTTTTCAGTCCTGCCTCAGCGGCCTGGGTTTGCCGGGGGGTCTTAAGCTTTCCCCTGCTGTGTCCATGCAGCCTGGATGAGACCTTCCCAGTTCCCCTCCCAGCTGCAGCCATGGGGGATGGATTAGGCTGGCGAATGGCTTTCACAGGGGCATAGAGGGGCAGTGAGGACCAGGCGTATAGCCCCCACCGTCCAAACCAGCCCGTGCAGGGTGGGCCAGGCCTCAGTTGCACCAGTACCGGTACCTTCCTGGAAGGCTGCAGTTAGGTCTGTCAGAATCGAGTTGTAACGTCTGCTTATCTTTCCCAACGAGCGAATGTGTGCTTTTCAACTGGCTCAACGGCAGCACGCCCGACATGTAGAAAATGCCCCGGTCCCTCTGTCTTCTGACATCCTCAACCCCAAAGCAGATGGGCATGATGAGGCAGGAGACGCGGGCATTAATTTTTTATGTGCTCAGCCCACCTGAGCAACGGGATTCAATTACAGCGGCCCCTTCTCTCCCTGCCACTGTGCTAATGTGACGGCAAAGGGACCTGTTGAGAAAGAGAAACCCTATTTCTTGGCGTGACCCCCTGGATAATTAGGGTTAAATTGATATGCTATCGCGCCGGCGACACGCGTTATCTGCCTCTGTTTGTACAAGGGGACACAATGGCGGAGGAAGGACCAATTTGTGCCCCGCTCTCGCTAACCAGCCCCAGATAAAAGGTGTCACTGGCGCGATAACGTTCCCGCCTCATGCGCCTTTATTGTTGCTCAATTTGCTGGTCTGTGTTGTGTTTTTTTTTTTTTTAAATCCCATTCTTTCTCCCTCTCAATACCCTCGGCCATATTTTAACTCCATGCCATCGCATAATGATGCCCTGCTCAATGTGTGTGCAGATAGGCGACGGGCTGACAGCCTTCCCTGATAACCGAATTCCTGCCCATCCATCACTGGCCTGCTCTGCCTTAACTTAAGGGAAGTGATAACTAAAGCATGGCTGTTTATCACCGTCTTCCCTCCCCGGCTCGGCTTCGAGGGAGGGATCCAGCCATGTGACCTCGCCTTCCATTTGCATGCAGGGCCGCGAGGGGAAATGGAGCCTCCCCCTGGGTGCGGGGGAAAACGGAGCTGCCTGCCCTGTCGTGGCTTTGCAGCCTGGTCTTTAGTCCTGGCAGCCCCGTCTACCCCAAACCTGCCTGCCTGGGAGCAGGTGGGGTGCATTGCTGGCTGCCAGGTCCCTGCTCTGTCCACGATGCCGGGAGCTCTGGTATGTCTTGGCTGGGGGCAGATGGATGCAAAGTGCAGACTGGGGTGGGCACGTCCGGCAGGCTTTGCATGCAGGAGCGGTGGTGGGGCTACTGTAGGAACCGGTTGGGGGGTGAGGGAAGCTGAGGCTGCTGCGCAGTATCTTGGGCGCATGGTGCTGGCCAGGGCCTCCCATGCCAGCGAGTCCCCACGCTAACCCCTGCGTCGCAGCCGCAAGGAGTAGTGCCCAAAACCTCTTCGCTGCTGCCCAGTAGAGGCCCAGAAAGACAAGTCCTGGGGCCTGTGCTCAGCAGATCACCTTAGCGGCCTCTGCACTGTGATGAGCTCCCTGGAGGCTCCATCTCTCAGCTATTCCCAGGGCTGGGTTGGAAGTGAAGGTCCATCGTGGTCAGCCCAGCCTGGCAGGAGCTGACCCATTCAGCAAGAGGGGGACAGTGAAGGGCCAGAGCTGGTGTGGGCTGGGGGTGAAGAGACCCTGCTCTGCCCTCTAAAGCTGGCAAGGAGCCCCCACCCACCCCATGGAAACAGGCCTTGCAGTGAGCATCCTCCCTTGCTGACTGCATCCTCTGGCCAGCAAGTGAAGGGCAGGCCAGTGCTGCGATAACTGCTCTCCCCGTGGCTCATACAGTGTGGTGTTCTCCCTCCCTTGCAAATACATCGTGCAGGGTCTGGGGCTTTCAGCTCCAGCTGCGGGAGCCTGCTCTTTTCAGTCCCGAGGTCCTGGGTTTGAACCCTACCCAGGAGCATGGTGCCTCGCACGCATGGTCTTGCACAGGGTTGTTGTCACTAGTGCTGGGGGAACAGGGGCCTCAGGGGACCAGAGACTTCCTATGTCTGTGCTGGAGCTGGTGAGAGAGCCCCAGTCTCCTAATTCTTGGTCCATTGCCTCTGGAGCCATGGGGCAGTGGCCCTTAGGGAGAAGTCACTGCCAGGTTCATTTGGCCATGAAGAGTGGACTACTTCGTTGATTTGGCCCAGGGCTGGGCCCTGATTCCCACCTCTTTGCTCAAGCTGGAACCCAGTGTGTAGCAAGGTGCCTGCTTCATGCTCCTGTCAGGTCCCTTTGTGGTAGGAGAGCCGTGGTCGCAGTGGGGGAGCGGCAGATGCAGCCCCGGGAAAGGTCCCTTGTTCTGGGTGACTCTTTGTTTAACCCATTTCTGTTTGGGGACACATCCTTCACAAAGCACCTCCCTGGGGCTGTGTCAGGGACACCCCAAAAGTGCATGGAGCAGGTGTCTAATGTGCGATTCCCAGGATGATAGAGCAAGTGTCCCAGGTTTATCTAGCATCGCGCAGGCCTCAGTGGGGGAAGGAGGGCTTGTTGTATGACTGGGAGCATGGCTGGCCTGGAGGGGATGCCCGGAGCATCGCCACCTGTGCCGCTATTGGGAGATGCTTGCTGATGCTGCTTCCCCATGGAGCTGCTGGCGGGGCCCAGTACTGACAGCTCTTTTGTGTGCTTCCTTCCCCACACTCGTGCTCGCTGCCTGCACACACATGCACACGTACGCGCTGCACCTGCACATTGTACACTGACTTTGCAAAGGGCACCGCCAGGCAGAGACCCCAGGACGCTCTCCCCCAGCTTTCCAGGCCCAGCTCCTCCTTGCAGTGTTTCTTTCCAGGCAGCACCTCCTCACCATCTCAGTTCCTTCCTGGCATCTGCCTGTCTGTCTGGGCTTCCACCTGGCCTAGCATAGGCACCCTGTCTGCAGAGTTGCAGCCTGTCGTACATAAGCAGCATGTGTTCCTCCCTCTCTCCCCGGTC